CCAAGACATTCCCCCCGAGACTCCCTGTTACATGTTACATTTAACATTTATCTCTCCTCTAAATGCACACGAAGATTTCCCAAGTGCACTACACATTTAAAAAGATGGTTCAAGGGTTTTTTATTTATTTTTTTTTAGTAAAAGCAATGGTTCTACTTAGAACTATGAGTTATATATCAAACCATTTCATGCTTAAATGGTTCTTTGCTTGGTGCAAAAGTTCTTCAGATTGGTAGAGAATGTGTTGCATATGGTTCCATATAGGACCTTTTTGAAAATTGTTCTGTTCAGCACCAAAAAGGTTAGTCTCAAGTTTGACTCAAGTTTGTCTCAAGTTTGACATCATAACAATAGCGCAACCCTTATTGGTGCTATATAGAACCATTTTCAACACATATACAACACATTGCTCATCGATCTGAAGAACAATGTAATGTTTCCATATCGAACTTATGGTTCTAAGTAGGCAGAACAATAGCCTTTACTAAGGAACCCTTGAAGAGCCATCTTTTTAAGTGTGTAGATAGCATAGAGTAATGCTCATGCTCATAACCAGCCCATCTGGTGGGCACTTCATTTATCCAGCATCTACTAGTTTGCTAATTAAAGAGAAAAATGGAGGAAGCAACCACTGCACACACTGACCCTGATCATCCACAGACATACATGGAGGAAGTGTTCAGATTTGTAGCAATGAAAGAGGATTTCTACTCAACGGTACTTATTAACATTATCCTGGTTAACACTGCTAGCTAACGTTGGTTACTGATTTCAAATCGTAACTAGCTAGCCAGCAAATGATAATCACTCTTTTTCATATGAGCTAAAGCTATGCTGAGCTAATTTGTGAAATAACATTAGCTATTAAGGATACCGGTGTACGTTTAGCTAAGAGTTTGAAGAGCAGGCACAGCTAATGTCTTCTTGTTTTTGTTTTTAAGGTTGTTTACAGTGAAAACATGCAGTTTTGTATATGATTCTAGTGCATCATTTCTGAGTCACTATAGTTTTAAAAAGGAAGTGTTACTTAATATCCTACTCGATTTAAACTTACAGTAGGTGATAAAAGTAAAAATAAAAGGGAAAGCTGAAGTCACCCTTGAAGACTCTACTTGAAGACAATAACAAGCACCTGGTTTTAGATACACAAATAAAAATGGCAAGAGGAGGACATTATGTAGCTGCTCTTCAAACCTTTTGCTAACAGGCTAGCTAAATGAGAACGTGACATTAGCTGAAGCTGTACTGAGGGTCAGTAGAGTCAGGTTAGCCTGTCAATACTGCCAGTGTTAGTTCATGATCTGAAGCTTTAGCAAGCTGGCCAGCTAAATGATAACTTGGTTACTATTCTTCACATGAGCTGAAGTTATACTGAGTTAATATGTTAAATAACGTTAGCTAGCAAGAGTCAAGTACTGAGGAAGCTTGGAGAGCAGCTACATAGCTAACATCTAGAGTTAGGGTTAGAATGAAAAGGCAGGGAGAAGCCCTTAGCTATTTAGCTACTATTCAAACACTTGGCTATCTGGCTGGCTAAATGATAACATAGTCACTCTTCTTGACATGAGCTATAATGAGCTGGTATATGAAATAGCGTTAGCTAGCAAGGGTCAGGTACTGAGGTAAGCTTAGCTAATGGTTTGAAGAGCAGCTATATAGCTAACATCTTCTTGCCTATGTATTAATATATGGTTGTTGTCGGAAGAAAATGGTAACTTTACAGGAGAAGGAAAAAACCTGCTTTACTTTTAATGGAAGTCAATGGAACCACAGTTTTTTTCCAAGTCATTTTGGGTCGTTTCTTTTAGTCCATTCTTCACGAAATTTACATATAATGTAAAGGACAACAGGCTTTTTAAAATAATGTCAAAAACGGAAAAACCTCAAAAATGGAAATACGAGGTTTTCTTCCGACAGCAGCAATAAGTTTGTACAAATCATGCACTTTCATGCATGTTTCTAAAGTATATTTCTAAGAATCAGTTTTAAAATAGAAGTTTTGCTTAATATCCTAGTTGATTGTGTCTTCATTGGTGACATCAGGTTTTATTTAGTTCATTTTCAGGTATGGTTTCTTTGCTTAAGTGTTGCATTTGTTACCATGGAGCTAAGATCAAGATCTATGTTAATTCTCTTGATGGAAAGCTAGCCTGAAGGCCCACAGTAACAGCTCTGCTCTTATGCTCTGTCAAGGAACAGAAAAGTGATGTTACTAAGGTGACACTTTGTCTGAAATGCTGTTTCAAATATTTTACAACTAAATATAGCTGGCAGGCTGTGTTGTGGGTGATGATTAGCAACGAGAAGACACCAGTGTCACATTTAAACTCCGGTTTATAATAAACTCAACCACAGATCTGCCGCAGACTCTGCAGAGCGGTGCACGTAAACGGCGAGGTGACAAGTGCATGTGTAAGCAAAAATCTAAGCTGTTTGTGCGTGTTTGTGTTTATGTGAGTGTGCATGTGCAAACGAGTCCTCGCTTACGTGTCCACGTGTTTGCACGAACATCTGCGTGTGAAGTTTGTTTATTGCTATTTGCATGTAAAAGGCAAAGAAATAAGAGACACAACCATGGAAATTTTTCTTTCACTTACATTTTATAACGTAACAATTTGAAGTACAATAAGAAATAGAAGCTACCGTTTATAAAACTCTCCAGCAGAACTTAATGATGGCCCAGCATCAGCCTTCTTCTTTATATAACCGTATAAGCAGACAGGTCTTTAAATTTCATATCAACTTTTTTTTCTGTATAAAAAAAAAATAACAAAAAAAAACAAACAAAAATAAAAAAAACAAAGAAAACTCGCTACATTTGGTCCTGCGCTACCTCAGTTTTCCCATGAAAGCACCAGCTGTCTGCATCTCATATTTCAAAGTTTATAAAATATAAATTATTGAAAAATATTCAAATGTTTGTGAACTAAATACATTAAAATTCTCATTTAACAAAAGGATAAAAAAACAAACATTATAAATTGTACAAAAAAAAAGAAGAAGAATGACAGGAAAGGAAAGAAAAAAAAGTTTCCTCATTAATGGTTTTGTGATATGCCCTCATCACAAAGTTTATGCGCGTGTGAATCCGAAATCTCTTGACACCAAAGTTAGACTTGATATTTAACATGAGCTCTGTTCAGTAAGGAAAAGAAAAAGACAGTAACATAATACCACGTGACATTTTCTGATGTTATGAAGTATGATTTAAGGAAACAAGTACGAACTTGGGTGAATGTCTTGCCACGTAACATCTCTTCCAGATGGAGTAACCACAACGAAACGTGCCCAGAAGATCCTTGAAGATATCTCCTCAACCCACTCTGCTTTTCTAGATATGTCTTTTGACGAAGCTCATGCGTACTCTACAATGCCCGACCTGTTTGTGTGTTGGTACCCGACTCCATCCGCACCGAACGCGTTTGTCCAGTTCACGATAACAGATACAGACAACAGACAAAAGGGATGAAGTTAATGATGTCCGCTCAGTCCTCCAGCAGCACGGACGAGCTCCCGAGCTTTGGGCTCCGGGACCTCACATGAGTTTGAATGTTATTACTGCTTTGACCGTGGCTTATTTGTTCAATCTAGGTCTTTTAATAAAGAGTTATGAAACGCAATCTGTACAAATAGACAGTTCAAAAACTGCCCCGTTAAGACGGCATAGCGTTCCACCACTGTAAACAATAACATTTGTTTTTTTCCTAGATGATACTTCTTGACTTTGGCTTTTCCCACAAGGCCCTTGTGTACTGAGCTCTTCCCACACAGGAACACGAGTGCTGTGGCTTGAAAAACAAAGACGGCAACATGAACCAGATGCCTAAACCGGCTTCATGCCGTTAAGAAGCTGGAATAAAAGACAAAAGCTGCAATCTTTAAATATCATCGCTTCTCACTGTCGCTTTATCTTCAGTTCTTGCACATTAAAAGCTCTGCGTATGACCTATAGCTCCTTGCTAATGCTAAATGACTATACCACTCGCATATGAAGCTAAAGCAAAGGCAACGATATCATCTGCTACTTTCTTTAACATAACGCCACGCTGTCCTGAAAACAGTCAAAAGCAAACCCCTACTTTCTTGAGCCATCTAGAATAATGATGATTCACTCAAATTCAGCTCTTCAGACTTTCCCCTGATCATACTGCTCCTCAAAGTATATCGTGCAAAGTTCATTCCAGTGGTCAATCGCTCCTGCTCCTCGAGGCCGAGCACGTCAGCCTGACTACACGAAGTGACATCTTTGTAACGTTTAGTCTTTTCTCCACAAACTAATGCAGATTCAGTCACAACAAACAGTCTGTCTCCAGCGACTCTCAAGGCGCAAGAGAATCCCCCCAGTTAAATGACAATTCCAATGTGCGAGACCTTACGCGCTCTTCGCTCTACACGTGATAGACAGTGAGACTACAGACATGCTTTTATAACATTTGCCGCTCTAAAGGGAAAGATCTAAGGGAACTATCACAAAAATAACAACAAAGAACAAAGAAAGACGGCGGAAGTGTCGCAACAGACTTAAACTAAGGCAAGAGATGCTTGAAGTCCTTTGTCCGAACATAAGAGATTAGAAAAAAAGCAGTTGTGAGGCGGGCAGTGCTCTACAGCTGCCTGTGTCGCGCTCGGTTAAAACCGAAACACTTCTGCTCATAAGCCGAAGGCGGGGTGTGTTCGCAAGCCTGCCACCGTTGAGCAGAAAACGGCTACTTTCGGTTGTGTCTGTCACCCATTCTCGGTTTGAGTGCGAAGCAGCCCTTCTAAACGAACTGCATGAGTAAACAGTCTAGTATCGTCTGCTGACCGAGTCAGAGATTTCAGTTGGGAGTTATGTGCAAAGAGAGAAAATAACCATCTTTGACTTCACCAAAGTAGGGTGGGGGTTATTTGAATCGGTTTGGCATTATCAACCCTTCATCTTACACATATGAGCCGTGAAACTCAAGAAATAATACTGGCACAAACGTTATCAGAAAAAAAGAAATAAAAAAATAAAATACTTTTGTTGTTGTTAAATTCTGTGGTCCATCTGAGAACTCTGTCCGTGCCTTATGCAAGGAGGGACAGTGACAGTGAGTAACTTAATAGTAAATATTTCTGCGAAGTTCCTTTTCTCTCTAATTTTGGCAACATTATTTAATAACAGGAACTTCCCATCCATACAATGTCCGTTTTAGGAACGAGTCCTTCATTCTTTCCCTGGTCCCTCCCCCTCTCTAGCAGTCTGTTGTTGGTGCTGCTGGGTCAAAAAAAAACAGCGGTTCTACTCGAAACTCCCAGTTTTTTTTTTCTTTTCTTCCCGTTCTGAGCTGCATATGGATACAATAGACATTCACACTACAGACTAAGGAACTTTGGTAAAAGTTTTGTTTCGGAATGCTTCCTTTTTGCGGCGGCTGCAGTCATGAGCTCAAATACAAAAAAAACTGGACCACGACTAGGTATTAAGACAGGATGTGACTGGACCCAAACTGGACACCCAACGGTTACCAGGACGTCAGAGGAATTTTAAAAAAGTCTCTCGTGCCCCAAGTCCGCCCAGTTAGTTTTTTTTTTGTTGTTTTTTATTTTTTCACTCGTCCGTGTCGGGCTTGACGTCCAGCATGGCGTGGAGCTCCTCGGGCGTGTAGCCCAGCAGGCTTTTCAAGTCGCACACAAAGCGGTACACGTAACGCTTGCCGGACGTCTTGTGGATGATGTTTTTGTCGTAGTAGTAACGCAGGCCACGGCTCAGCTTTTCGTAGTTCATCTTGGGCTTGTTCTTTCTCTTGCCCCATCTTCGTGCCACCTGCAGGACAGGGAGACGGTGTTAATGAGTGAGTCCAGAAATCTGAGACCACATTGAAAATCTGGCATCAGGCAACAACTGAAAATTTGAAAGTAAAATGAAGAAGAACTATTCAAGATTTAGCACTATTTGTAGGTCACTAATCAAATATAAGCACATTTGAGACACTGACCACATTAAGGCCTTTTGTTTTGTTGGATCTTTAGCCTTATCCCTTCTAATTAAGCACACGTTCAGACAACTCTCAGGTGGTTTTGATTTACTTATCACAAGCTTGTGGAATAAGTTGTGGAGTCAAGTGCATTATGTCATTAAAGCAAATACTAATAAATTCCGAAGTTCATGTATTTCACTCTGATTGTTATGCTAATAAAATAATTTGTAATGACGAAATTGTATTAAATTAGAAAATAATACAAAATAGAAGCATTTCCACTAGCGGCCTTAGCCTTTTAGACCCCAGTGTACATTTAGACAGCATGTAAATGTAGAGACAAACCCTTTGCACGTGTACGTGTAGTTAAGATACTGTGTACACCTTTCGAGGCCATTTGTTTACCATCCATATTCTGTTGTCCATTTATGTGTGCGTCAACTCAACCAAGACAAATTCCTCGGCCAATAAAGTGATTGTAATTGTGATCTGTCTTAATAACACATAAAGCTGTGTCTAAAACAATGTCTACTAAATGAGAAAACAAGAGAAAACTCCTTTTCCCAGATAAATTCTAGTAGATATATTCATTACAGGCTATAAATCGTTTGCAAATGGATATTTATCCAGTAAAAAAGTTCTAACTGAACTGCAAAGTGTTGTAGTTTTATGCTAAATTAAACCAGCAGTAGGTACTGAAAAACTGCGCTGGCAGTGTGCACTGATAATTGTCTCCATTGAGAGGCCAATTTTGTGTAGTTCTGCACTTAATCTGTGTCTGGATCCTTAAGCAAACAAAAGCTCCATTGTGAGTGTGGGTTGATGTCTTTTCTGCAGTCTGACCCCCCGTCTAGCCTTCTTGAGGACAGTGCTGGGTGCTGCCCTTGTGACCTCTCACCTCATCGGGGTCAGAGAGTTTAAACTCCCAGCCGTCTCCTGTCCAGCTGATGAACGACTGGCAGGATTTGTCCGTAAGGAGCTCCAGCAAAAACTGCCACAGCTGGATGGGTCCACTACCTGCACACAGAGACGCAGAGACAAAAAGAGCACATTAGTATTGAAGGGGGCACAACGTAATTATATAGTGACACCAAAGCAACCTGTGTGTACTATGGACTTCATAATGATTCTGTGTATTGTACTGATACAGTGCACTTATGTATAGTAATTTCTCTGTCTTAAATGCTATGGAATGCTTGGAAAGACACAAAGCCCCCACTATTCACACTGTCTCACTGTACATGTCCTGTGGCTTGTCAAGAGTTTGTCTCTCAATATGAATTCCACTCCACTGACATCACCATGGACTAAAAATATGAGGGATGAGAGTCTATGAGTGAGCGTGTTACTGTAGGACTACTGTGTATGTGTGTGTGCCGTGTAGACGAGTGTGTGAGCACAGGGCAGTGCGAGTGTGTGGGTGTGAGAAAGCTCAGCAGTTGATGGCCCATTGCAGTGAGGGGCCAACTTTTCCGACTTTCTCAACAACTTTTGTGTCGTTACGCCATTGGGGCCGCATTGCAAGGCAAAGTGGTTTTTTTTTCGGCTTTTGTTTTTCTTGTTTTGAGTGCTGTTTTTGGCGTGCATTTTAAAGCTGTAAGTGTAGCCTATCTCAAATGACGTTTCGAAGCAAAACGCAGTCTTTTTGGCCAAAATGACGTGGTGCTTTGAGCTCGTACAGTCAGCGTGCTCAACTGCTAATCTCTGCATAGTTTGTTCTGTGATTGATCCACTGCGCCAAGCGGGTTTCAAGCGGGGCTCAGATGGATACAAGCATGCACGCCACAGCTTGTTTCACAGCTTGTTTTCAGATCTTTTGTTATTTGATGTATACTGCCTACTTTAGCCTTCAAATGTTTTGTCTGCTGTTTGTATGTATCACACTTATATCTAGCAAAAGCGAAATGCCAAAGCATAAAATAAAATATAAACCACCTGTTTTTGGTATTTGTTTTGTCACTTATCTGAAATAACAGTAAAAGCAGCGTGGGTTAAAGAGGTCACCGTTTGCTAGGTAAACAGAATTAGCATCTATTTTAAAGCAAGCTGAAATTTCTCCTTATTTTTGTCCACTTGTATAGATCACAGCATGTCATACAGTACCAACAACCTCACAACCGTGTCTGTTTGAATTTATGTAACAACTCACAGCTTGAGGCAAAGGTGTAATGATTAAGGCATGCAGTTTTAGCCGCACAGCTCCAAAAGGAAACTGCAACATTAAGGAAGCATTCGATTGTGGTAAAAACCCGAAAACCTGATTTCTGGGCAAATCTTAAAGTTAATATACAGAGCACTGCGCCTCCTAATCGAAAGCTCGTCCTGCGCACTTGCTGTCCGGCCAGATGAGATGTTCTCTCGTGCCACGTTTGTGCTGTGGCGTGCTCAGAGTGTGTAGGCTGAGGAGGAGGCCTCTGCTTCTGCACCCAGCTCAATAAGCCTCCTTTCATCTTTGCGGTTTGTGCATTAAGATGAACCAACACTTCACATCACACCTGCTTCAAAGCCAACAAGCGGCAACCGAGGAGAGAGACAGAGAGGGTGGAGAAGAGAGTCTCTGACAGTCAACAGCTCTCAGAAGAAACATCTTCCTGATGAGAGAGAGATTGTGTGTACATTCAGCTAAAAATATATTCGCTGATCGTACATCAGAATATGCTCGTAGATGCCAGAGCTTGATTTTTGTTCTTTTTGCGAAAGACTGCAGCAAAGTTAGTGTAAAAAGCTTTTAGGGGAATGGATTTTAGTTGCATCATGCACCCCAGTGTTGCTAATGACTTGCTAATTCTCTACCGCACATAGGAATAGCTTTCTGCTCTCAAGTACGCACCAGCATGCACTCAGTTGGACCACACCTAGACCCCTGCGCCCATGTCTTTTAACCAAAGGCAAAGTCTACGGAATAATTCAGAATGGTTCAACGCAGGCTAAGACCGCGGGCAGCAGCGTTAAGGGTTAAAAAGGAAAAAGAGAATGTAAAAACAACAAAAAAAAAATAATCAGGTTATGTTGATGACTTTGCGCTGCGGTACTGTGGTCATGTCGTTCTCTTCAAAGACGCAGTGCATTTGTACTTGTGTTTGTGATTTGGAAATGTGAAACGCGAAAAACCTCAAAGCTCAGGCAAAAGGCTGTTTTTATCGCTCCCTCGCCTTATCAACCCCCTCATCTCCACACGCCAGGACTGAGCGCGCCCAGCAAGCACTGTGGCTTCCAGTGCTATAAACAGCCATTTCAGACCATTACATAAATGCCTATTAGACGAGTCTGCAGCCCTCTCTCTCTCTCTCTCTTTCTTTCTCTGCCTCTCTCTCCCTCACACGCTCAGACACTCTTCTCAATTATATAAAGACATAAGTTTATGGGGGCTAATGATGCAAGCATTCCCTAGTTTAGCTGAGAGTTTGTATTTAAGATTAGCGCTAATGGTCACCAGTGAGAAAGTCCATTCATGAAGGTGTTTTTTCTTTCCTTTTCTTCTCTTCACTGTGTTTTCATGGGCTTTCATAATCAGCCATGAAAGCGACATAGCTATAGATTCCATATCTCTTTTCACTTTGATCCCAGTGCTACAAAAGCGACACTTTTGTGCTTTAGAGTTATAATTAAAAGCATTCACAATGATTAACGTCTGCGTTCTATCCTAGGCTACACGCGCAGCCCCTAGACGCCTTAACCCGGAAAAGCTTTCCTTTGCCGTCTCAAGATACATAATGACAACACGGCTTTGTACGCTCTCGTTTAGCGGACTCACACTTGCCAAAAATGACTTACGTGACTTAAAATAGCATTTAAAAAGCCTGAAAACTCTGACGCGTGTGTTGTGACAGGCATGTCTGTAGGTTTAAAAGCCGTGTCTTTGTGCGTGTTTTGTAGCGCCAGTTCAGAAAGCCTCCCAGAGATCGAGCGATAAAGAGACTCTCAGGTTAAGTGCATGGAGCCGCTATCATTTTGTGCTGCACCCTCCGTTGCCAAGACGACCTGGGAAATGGGTTGAGATGCGGGCCGCAGATAAGCCCGCGCACATGAAAAATGAGGAGACGGAGAGTAAGGTGCATGGAGGGAGACAGAGAGAGAGAGAGAGAGAGAGAGAGAGAGAGAGAGAGAGTGAGAAAGAGATAGTCATGTCTGCTTTGTTGCTTTTGGGGGCTGCAAATTGGTTGGGCAAATAGCACACTCACATGCGGGCTGACAGAAGCAACAATGCCAGCGACGCTGAGAAAAAAAAAAATGTAGAGCTTGCAACCATTTCACAAAGGTGCCTTTGTGGTTACGAAACTGGTGCAAGGTGCTGCTCCTCCGGATCCAGAGATTGGCCGTGTCCTACTAAGTGCGTTCTCTTGTAGATTTGGATCGGAGCTTGCTCATTTCGCTGCCTCATTCCCTGCTTCCTCGCCATTTGAGAAAAGATAAGCGTCTCTCGTACTGAAAGTAGGACTGCGTTGAATTGCGATTGTTTTTTATGATTTTGCTACCCTTGCTTCCATATGTATTTATTAATCGGACTATTCTTACTAAGCCTGTCACAATCATGAAATTTTAGCTGAAAATTAGTTGCCATATAAATAACTGTAATTAACAACAGAATTGTCTTTTTGGTTTATTGCATGCGGCTGATAAACGACGAGCTTAAAGTGGCCAAATTGGTTGATCCACTGTCTTCCAAGCTGTTGTTCAAGCTCAAATAGAGAAATGTTACTCACTACTGACCTTTAAAGGTGTTACAGCATACAAAGTTAAAACTTCTGTTAATTTGTATGACACATGATGTGACTCGATATATGTGTATTTAATAATTATGTAATAATTGTAACAGGCCTAATTCATACCAATCACATTTAATGTAGATGAGTCACCTGCTTAACACCTCAAGACGTCAATGGCTGCGAAAGACCAGAAAATCATGTAAAGCTGTTTCTAGCCCTGACATACTGTTTGCTATACATTCAACATGGTGCAATTATATCAGAATTTCTTTTAACTATTTTGATCCAATTGCGTCATCTTGATGTTGCCAATATGTGGGTCTAACTGAAAGGACCTTACCATGTACTGTACATGTATGTGTATCAAGAGATCTTACTACAACTGCCAATGGTTAGGGCTGAATGACTTTCTGTATCTTTACAAAGGAATCTTATTTTGTATTTCTGAATGGCAGTAAAAATCTTCCGTGACTAATCAGTTGGACTTGTGTGATTCAGTGACTTTTTATTGTATAGGACTGACTAACGGCTGAATCAGTGAGTATCGGAGTGAGTATTTGGGGGTTGAGACTATCTCAGGCGGGAACTGACCCGTGTAGCCGGCGAGGGCGGCAGCGGGGATGACTGGCTTGTCCTTGCTGAGGTCAGAGCGCTCCCGGACGTAGTCCTTGAAGGTGCCCTTGTGCTTGTGGCCGTGCAGGGCTGTGGGATAGTCCTCTGAGTCGAAGCTGTCGTAGGAAGGCACGCGCTGCAGACTGTTGAATGACGACTGGCTGCTCCACGACTGTGTCAGACGGTCACAACTTTCAAAGCTTTCTGTGCTCTCAAATGAATCCTGGCCTCCCAGCTTACCTGAAAGACAGAGAGAGAGAGAGAGAAGAAGAAGAAGAGAAAGAAATGGTAAGCAAACAAACCCAAATCTGTAAAAATCCTGCTCTCAAAAGCCCAGCATTCAGCGTTCACTTCATAACAAGGCGAACCCTGGCCTCCGCTTAGTAAATTCAGGCCAAACTCTTACAGCTTTATAAGGTGCAACCTTTGGGAGCTAATCTAGCCAGGGGAGGTTTGATGTGGGAAAATAGCTAAGAGAGACTTTGGACCAAAAGACAAGAAAGGACCCAGAACCATCCAGCACCACTCAGTTAAATTTTCTCTTATATAACTGTCAAGCATCCATCTTTGACTCTTTTTTTTTGTAATTGGAGGAAAATGGAAACAAATTGCTTCTCTATTTTAAGCCAAAGCAGAGATAAAAAAAAAGAGCTGTGCCAATTGAACGCCACTTAAGAAATGAAAGCTAATACAGCAGAGAGGCCGATTCCAAAATCTTTGACTGCAAAATTGAAGCCACATGTGGGGTTTGGTGGTGCCACAAATACTTTCCCACGTTGGAAAAAAAAATGTGGTGTGCAGGCCAAAACAAGAATTTACAGCGTGTGAGGCTTGGTCATACCTAGGGGGCAAATGCGCAAGTCTTGATGACGTTCTGCATCATGCTAAGATCTCACACAGAGATCCCAAGTCTCTCTGAGTCCCCAGGCATCCAGCATGATGCTCGCTGTTACAGCAACTCTTTGGCTAAAAACTCTAGCTTACATCGTCCTTTTACCCCAATTGTGGTCAATTAGTCAAGACATGCTTAGCGTCCGACGCTGGCTTCTTAAGTTTTGTAGTAGAACCGAGATGCTAATGTACCTAACAAGTAATGAAAGCTTATAGCCACTGGCTTCTCATTTCTAAATTCTTGCACACTTGGCTCAAACCACATCAAGTTGTTAAGTAATTTGAAATAGACTTGCTGATGTGGTTTCCAGCACTATATGACAATGTTATTGAAAAAAGTGTACAGCTAAAAATAGCAGTTGAAGCCATCATGAAGCCTAAATTTTGTCTGCATTTTTGTCCATTTTTGTCCAATTTCTTTTAAAAACCGAGCAAGTATGTTTGAAATTACTTAACAAACTGACTCATTTTGAGGCAAGTTTGTAATTATTTAGGCTAAGCTTCCATAACTTAATGCATCCAATGCAAAATTAAAGATGCAAACATGTTGTGGCTAAACATGGACCAGATTTGAGAGAAAAATATAAATTTGACTATTTGACTATCATTGTGTTATACCTTCTGTAAATGAGCAGTGTTTTGGTCTGCGGACCCAGGTATAGGGGGGTGGGGGACACAACAATAGCTTCGTGAGAAAAGCGCATTGCGCTTAGTTCGTCTCTTGACACCTCTGGCACCTTACGAGAAGACAAAGGCGCTCGAAAAACAGCGTCCCCATTACCATCACTCGCCCTGAAACCTTTTACACAAAAAGCACAAGGCTGGAGATCTCGATGCTCTCTGCGGCTTAGCACTTCGCTCACTTTGATGCAAACAGCTTTGTTTTTTCTTCTTCTTCCCTATCTCAATTTTTTTTTTCTTCTCTGTACACTGCATGAACCACAAATAAAACACAACGGTCCCCTTCATTCTGCACATGCACACATGCGACAGAGCAAAACACACACGAAGAAAAAATCTTGCCGAAACCAAAGCTATGCGGACCACACACACCACCGACCGCTTCAGTCATGGGGATGACGGACAGAATTGGGGACAGTGCTCTGTTCAGTGAGAAACAAGCACAAAGGGAGTTTTTGCCTCTTATGAAGATTTGATGACAGGGACAGTCCCTTGTTTTATGCCAGTGGTCAACAATATACAGTATCAGTCTGGACACATCTACTTTTTTATTTTTACTATTTTCTACCATATTTTTACCATATTTTATTTTACTATAAAAGTGAAGACCAACACTGTGACTTATGCAGAGACCAAGTCAAATGCAGTGTTGTACCCTCTTGCACCCTCTAACGAAGCTTCTGGAGCAGCTATTCAATCAGATGTCTAACATTTTGACTGGTACACGATAATTCACATTTTATATAGGGCTGTGATGACAGAACAGATTAAATTACCTCACATGGAGCACCTATTTGATGTAATTCGATTGGTGGGAATGTAGTGCAACAACATGTGCTTCATTGCAGCCTTGAACCCTGCAGGCAGTGAACCACTGAGCTAAACTCCCATCTACAAGACACGGCCATGCACAGCTCAACAACTGTGTGACAAGCGATAATGCGTACTGTCACAACAAACCTGCATCACCATAAGGAAGTCTATGAGGAATTACAATTACAGACCTATAATGTATTTATGGAATAACTGAAATTTGGGGGGGGGACTATGCCTGAAACCCCTCCACCTTTCATTCTAATGCCCTACCATCCGTTTCTCATGATGAAGTTTTCGCAACCTCCTCCCTGTTTACTCAGTCCTACCAGTTATAAAGAGGGGGCAGCATTCTAGCTCCGAGCAGAATCCACCCAGAACAGTAGATAGAATAGATAGCCAATAGAACATAAACATTTGGGGTTTCTTGTATGGAAAAAGTTTCACAATAGAAAAAGTTGTTCAGAAATGTTTTCTTTTTGCTTGCAGTTCAGCTATTAGTTATTTGCTTGGAACCAGAGAAGCATGCATTTTGTGCAACACAAAATCAAATTAAAGCTCAGGATGAGATCTATCTAATGCCAAATCAAATGCAGTTTTAATGTTAAGAGTGAATGCCAATAAACATAGACAGGGCAAAATATCCTCTAGTTCCAAGCCCTTAAGAAGTGAATAGTGAAAGGAGAGGTTAATAACACTTCTCTTTAATCACAGAGCAGAATTGGTGCCACCTTAGTACCGCACGTATCACCAAAATATGCATACATGTGACCATTTACATCCTTCTTTTACACACATCCAACCACCCACACGTATAAATTCACCACCCACCAGCCCACGCATGCAACCACCTGCTCTGCCCCCTCATTCCTAGGCCTCACCTCTGCTGATGCGCCCTACACACATGTTGTCGGGCGACACGACTTCCTGTTTCATCGAGAAGTAATCCCCCTGCAGCGGGTTGAGGGGCGTGTCCCGCAGAATCACGTTGGAGTACTCGCTCTCGTATTTGAGCGACAGCAGGTCTTCTGAGCTGATTGGGTGAAGGGTCTGGTAGGACTCTGTGATGAAGCCAGGCTCCGAGTACTCTGAGGGGGGCACGCACTGGGCATGTTCAATGCCATAACCTAGAGGGAGCGTTAAATCAGGACAGTGCATTGAGTCAGGGTCTGTGTGTTGTTTCATATGTTTACGTTTTATAAAATCACTGACTACCTTCAGGCCTGAAACTAGCATTTAACATGCTGTTTGTTGCGTTATGTAATATCCTGTAGCATCTCTCGGCCTCAGTGATTTGACAGAATTCAGCTTTGTATCCTTTTTATGTTTTCATACTTTAATGTTCTCTCGCTACAATACTCAGCATGTAACCATTGAGGACACCCCTAATGAGATAATATGCTTGCAGTCAGGATAAATATTTTAAAAACATAATATTTGGCTTCATAGCAGTGACAGCATTGACCTGCTAGCTCAAGTATCCGCCAACAAGCAGCTCTAGTTTTCCCAACCTTAAAGATACATCATCAGAAGGGGGATTTTCCAAGTTATTAAACCAGAAAATCTCACTATAGAAACTACTGTGGCACCACTTTGGTAGGTGAGTAAGCACGTTTACAGCAGAAGACACAATGGTTACGTATTCATTTTGATTAGAGTGACCCTTTAAAATAGGGACGGGTTACTGGAATGTATGGATATCTGAAGCATTCAATAACGTAACTGGATATATAAAGCGTATAAAAGTTAAATAAATGATAATTTAAGATCATTTAAATACACTTTTGACTGAATGTATGATGTAGCGCTGCAGGGAATTATCACTATGCAGGTGAACTGTGTTAAATTATAAGCCAAAATCAGTAAATCATCCAAAGAATTTGATATGCTAGTTCTAGTTCTAACTGGATGATAAATCGAAGTTCTTTTATTCATTATTATATAAAAAATCTTCACGCTGGGACGTTTGTTTAAATGTGTTTGAGTAGCAAAAAATGGCTAAAAATCTCATCCCTGATCAAACAACTAGTCGGTGCACTTCCAACCTGACGCTACAGACTGAAAACCCCTCTCTTTTAAATCTGCTAACACTTTCCTCAGACAAATCAATGCACATCTCGTATTGCAGTCTCTGCGGTGGCTGTGAAAGTGAGAGTGCATGTATGTGTGTGTGTGTGTGTGTTCTAATGGAAGCAGTGGGGTACTCACTGACAAAGTAGTCTGAGGTATAGCGAGATTCCTGGAAACTAGAGGTCAGGCCGTTGACAGGGAAATGCTTGGGGTCTTCTGTGTGAAGGAAAAAAGATACAACACACATCAGCGAATGAACAATCTTTGTTATCAAATGATCATAATCATACATTAGGCTATGAAACACATTTGTGAATCCATTTTTAGCATTTTTTTTAACACAGCAGCCTCACCGGGGCCTTGCAGTTACAGTAAAGCTCTGACGGCTTTGCTGCTTCTACCCTGGAACTGACAGTTTCTCATGAACGTCATACGTTCATTGAGTGAAGATAAGAAGTAAACTGTGTGGTATTCTTTATTCTCAAACAGAGTAACACGGATTCAGCACTGTGTGTGATAAAGAGCTGCAAAGAGTCATCCTTCAAAAGGAAAGGGTGGGGAAAGCTATGAGGTGATCTGCTCTGACGCCCATAAGCGTGTTATTCGTATACCGCAGATTTAGAAAGCAGATAGCAAGTGCTAGCTTTGTGCGTTTCAACTGATGATTTGCTTGATAACCGGACTTATCTTAATCAAAATGGAGCTGAATTACATGCATGCAGGGACTACTGAACGCACGTAATGACCATACTGTTTTTTTTATAGTACTCACTGAATAATTCACAATAATAGGTGATAAGTCGTAAAGGGCCTAAATCCTAAGTTTATTGTCTTTTTATTCTACTCTATAACTTATGATATTTGTGGGATTTTATGTAGCAAAAACAGTTATAATTCACTGTTAAATGACCATTTTCATACCTCTTTTTATCCCTTAGAAGTAAACAGGCTGTTTTTGTGATTGTGCCTCTAAGATTGATATACGTAAATGACCTCTGTTCTGATTGGCTGCCCTGATTCACAAAGCACCACTCCTTATAACTTCAGCCTGAATGGGAGGTGCTAAACTGCTGGAGGCTAAATAGGTGAATATTTAGATATTTACATATTAACAGTGTTTACATATTTTAAAAATATGTGAGGACATCTTCCATGATGAAAGCCCCTTTAAGAGTAATAACATTGTGAAATGCCTGCAGTGTGAATGTTGAAGCTTATTATTCAGTTATAAGACTTATTAAGACTTAAATAAGTTTAAATAAGATTACATTTAATCTTAAGACTTAGGCAGGTCATTAGGATTTCAGGGGCTAAACTGATACATGGTAAAAATGAAGCACAATGTCTTTAAGAACTTGTTTATATATATATATATATATATATATATATATATATATATATATAAACAACCACAAACTATATTATGCCTGTGGCTGTTGACATCATCGTTTATAAATGTCTCTTTATTTCAGGAGTGGGTTACTCATGTCCTTAAGCAAGGACCATTAAATTCAAGTGTTAGCAAACCTATCAGGCTTACCTTTCTGCAGCATCTCTAAATGTTCCCACAGGATATCCCCCACAAAGTCAGGCGCCAGGTCCAGAAAGCGGTCCTTGCCCAGTGCACACAGGCTGGCTCCGTTCATGCAGAACTTGTGGAAGTCCACGTTCTTCAGGCTGAACTCGTTTACCGTCCATGTCAGCCATTCTCGCACGTGGCCCTCTGTCCACTGCCTGGGGTCTGTGGGGAGGGGTTGTGGGCAGTGGGGGATCAGATGAAAAGATGACACTCAGCACCGTGCAGGCAGATTCTATTATGGTTCCAAATTTGGCCGATGCATACCTAATTAACCCATTCAAATGTCTGATTCAAATTGCAATTCCAGCTTAGCTGGTAAGTAGGATTCAATAAAGTTACATAGAAAACACAGCAAACACGGACTGCACTCCAGACAGGGAGAGGAGGAGGTCGAAAAACAAAGAGAGACAGGAGGATAGAGATGAAAAATGGCTATAAATCTTTTGCAGATGGCAAATTTTAAGTTCCAGTCATATGTATATATATATATATATATATATATATATATATATATATATATATATATATACACTATATTGTTAATTAAATCGCGAAAAGCGAATTGTGGTATAATTTATCACAATAATGATAAAATATCATCATATTGCACTTGATTAGCGTTAGATAAAGTCAAGTATAGACACTGCACGTAACATGTAATGGATGAATAAAGAATTAGGCCGAAAAAAAATCCAAAATAATTAGGTTCCTCTTTTTCTGGCCAACAGTGTGCTATCAGGTGGTTATATACGGTATGTTTTATGCAGCCACGATGTGGGTGCTCGGAACTGAAACAGCTGTAATTGTAGCCTATGGGTCTACACGCTCACATGCATGCACACACACAAAGCTTGTTTTAATGCCGTCTCAGGACGAGAGGTCATACATATGTGTACCCATGTATGTAAAACTACCCGTACATGTATAAAATCACTAATATGTCACGCGAATTTTCTAAGCCTAACCCTAATCCTGATCTCTGTAACCGAACAGAAATGGTTTTAGTTTTAAAATATTCAACCCATCGCTTTTGTAAAAAGCACTTTACAAAGTCGGGACTCCTTTCTCTCTGGTTTTAATACATAGTCTGGACACTTTTCGTCCTGACAATGTATGAAAACAATCGCGTACACAAACACACACGCATGCATATATATATATAACATGTGGCTATTTTCATTTCCAGACAGACAGCAAAGACCCAATACAGACTGAGCCTCCAGAGACACAGCAAAGCGAAGCCACCCTGTGGTCTGCCTCAGTTTGGGGAACATAATTCATAAGTAGCATGGGGCTGCCATGTGCTTATCTTGCAAGATCCCCTTATAGGCAATCCGCTTCGGACATTCCAAGACAACACTGTAATGCACAAGCCTGGGCTAAGGGTGGACAATTCAACGACAAGACAAAAAACTATCAGTACCCCTTTCCATCCCATTTGGATTAATCTGATATGCCTTAAGATTCACTTAAGGTGTCTATTATCAATATTTTCATTCTACTCTTATGTGAGATTTACACACTATGGGAGTTTTTCATGTAAAATAAACAAGTTAAGATCAGGGTGTAGAGCACTCACACCTACTGAAGAGGTGGTTATGTAGAACTGCATGCTTTCACTTATTGGTTATGTGTGGAGTGTTTGGTACAGGGTGCACTCGCCTTTAGGGCTGTCAGGTTCCTAGTTCGCCTGCCATATTGGGCTAGTTTAAAAATGCAGTAGAAGATGACAGTTTCAGCTTCTGGTGGGTGGTTTTTAAGAAAACTTTGGGCTGGAGATTTTTGTTAGACCTGGCAACCCTGCTTCCATAGAGAACACTAAAATTACAGCATGATCTGTGGACTATCTTTAAAAAAGGCAAAACATGTACAACAACCAGCATTAAGCAGAGAGAGATGAAGGCAGCACCGCCAGCTGCGTCTCCAGAGTGAGAACTGCTGAGCTAACTTAATCACGTCTTTGATAATTGCTACAGAGAAATTTGCTACAGGCAATAAAATACTGATTAAAGGACTAATATGTCAAGAGGTACCACCAAACCCTTGGCCTACCCCCCATTGTTACTTGAGCCGACCGCCTCTCCTGAAACTCAACCTCACGGAACTCAATATCACGATATTTGGTTTTCCTGAGGTTTGGAATGGACAAAATGTACCAGCAAAATACTGATGCCACATTTAAAAATGCCTATGAACAGTATCGTAATGGGCCATCCAGGCAATATTGTTTTTTGTTGTTGTTACTGGGCTCTCAATAACGGGTCTAAATCTATCTGTATAGAAGAAAAGCTCTTCATGGACCTGGCTTGTAACTCACTCCATCACATATGCACTCACTCATGTTTAGCAGGTGGACAGTTCTCCACAAGAGGGTGCTATTACTACTTCAGGAGCTTTCAGCGCTTCATACGAGCCATGCTTTGCATCAGTGACGCTGTGGGTCTTCGTTTATGCTACTTTTTTTTTTCTTTTTCCTGTGTTTTTAAGACACATTAAGTGAGGAACGCCAGTCACCCTTCATTGCTGAGGTCTTGAACTCAGTTCTCAAGAATTTTGAGGTCGATCACCTAAACGAAACACAATCTACGCTGTTGGCCCCGACACTCACGAGAAACTGCCAATAACACACTCTAATCTAATAATTAATGGAGAACAGAAGTACAGACTGTGCCTCGTTTTAAGTAGGTTAGAGGGTGTTTCTTTTCATTTAATTGAGTGAGACACACAAAGAAAAAAGGCTACAAAAGAGAGAGAGAGACTTGCTAAAATATGAGATTATGAACATGATATCTGTTTGTGAGGAAACAGAGGAAAAAAAAAAATAAGAGTGAAAGTGAGGAGAGACCTTAACCCCTTTGAGCTCCGGGCTTAACATTCGATTAATCTAATTCAGTAGCTGCTATGAATTACTCAGAAGTGCTACACTGCTAATTTTGAAGTTATGCAGTTGCAGGAGTGAACTGAAGTGTGGAATTACTGATGTGCCTGCAGTGTTTGCACTGCAAAAAATGACACCCCGGCAAGTGAAAACATCTTAAATATAGACAATATCTAATATAATATCGGATCTCTAGTAATCTAACCGCATAGTTATCCCCTTAAATGGCCAGGGCCCACCAGCAGGCCCAAAGCTCAACAAATTTGCCCTGAAGTCCCTGTAGTTACTGAATAATAAGACTTAGTATGTAATAAGCCTGGGATTTTAAGGGGTTGTTGGCGTTAGCATCACATTTAAAAACAAAAGCAGTTGCCTATATGAGCAGTAAGATTATTTCACTTATTTAATTTACGGTAACACTTTACTGTAGGGTGCTGTTTATAAGGCTGCATGACACCTACATAAGCTTGTCATGACAACTGACATAACCCTACATAAAAATGCAAATGTAACCTTTACAGCAAATGACGTCTATTGAAATAAGCACTAATACACATTTATGTAGCGTTCTGTCAGTTGTCATGACAAGCTTATGTAGGTGCCATAAAGCCTTATGACCAGCACCCTACAGTAAAGTGTTACCGAAATTACTTAGGATAAAGTAAAATGTCTAGAAATAGGTTGAATTTGATAACATTCTTAATAACAGTATCATAATGAGAAATATTCGATATGTTTAAGTCACTTATTTGCCACGATATAAAATGACATCTCGGTGTATGTTACTCTAGAAGGAGCGCAGTACCTTTAGGGATGCCAAGTCTCTGCTGCTCCTTGGTGAAGCCGCTGAAGGTGGCCTTCAGAGCCTGTGACATCATTTCTTTGCTCCCCGGAGTCAGCAGGGGAACGTCCCCGCATTCCAGATCTGTCCCAAAAAGAGCAGAAGAAAACATGGGTCAAATTTCACAGCCAGAAAGCCGAGAACAGCCTGAACTGTTTCAGCTCTCACAATGTGTGTTTTGTACATTTTGACTTAACACTGAGCCTAAAGAGTTCATTCATAAATAATGCTTTCGCCAAACACTGGCCTGTTGGTGGTCACATCCTTTGATATGACACTCACCGATTCATAGCCAACCCTAATTATACTGTCTAATCCAAAGACAACCACTAGCATTGTACTATTCAGCTTTAAACAGCTTAATTATAGCTCAAGCATGAGGTCCTGTAGTGTTTGAAGACACTGGCATAATAAATAACGTTAAATATTCATTGTATATATTTGTGTTCATATTTGATAAAGTTGATGGACAAAGTTAGAATCGATATAAATGTAAATGTCATAATTTATATAACTATGTAATTCATTATGTAATTATGCACTCACAATGAACTAAATCTGCAATATGAATTACAAACGGCACAGGCTGGTTTGGCCACATGATACACCAGACTGACCACTGTGGACCTCCTGCCTCCATACTGACCCTAATATTCCAATAAGGCCTAAAGATGCTGCAGAACCTGAGGGCACATCTGACTCTAATGCTTATCCATAACCTCATTCCCCAAAATGTCCATCTACAGGCTGCCTTCTGTCGCCAGGGGTCAGTCGGCAGGGTGAAAGGTCGTGGCAGCAGGGCGATCATGTCCAGCCTGAACAGTGGCATCAGTGTTTGGGCAGATCGCCTTCACAGCCTTCAGGTCCCCAGCAGGGCACAGAGGGCCCTTTGATGAATTAAACAGTGCCTGATGACTAGCACTAATCCAATTAGAATGGCCCGGGGTGGCTGAGGAGGGGACCTGGGGAAACCCCCTTAAGGCTCAGGGCTAAAAAAAAATCCACTGACTCCACTTAAGGCTATGATTTCCGGGTATATAGAACGCAAAGAGTGATGATGACATGGTGTGTCGGGGAGGTGGGGTAATGGAATTTAGGCCTTGATTGATATTATGTGACTTCATTTACAGAATGCCACACCATTCAGAGATCGTTAATGACCACATCATGGGTATTATTGTGAACTAGACACTGGGAAATCCCTCTGAAAGTTAAAAGAATAGCCAACGAACTCTCTAAGACTTCGTTTAGGCTAAAGGAATTAGGAATTTAGGCCTTGATTGATATTCTATTCATTTACAGAATGCCACAAGCCCTCTTTCTATGCAAGTAATGCATTCGCAATGGGAAATGCAACCGTTACTGCTAACACCTGGATGATAGAACCATCAAAAAATGTGGAGAACCACTGAAAAACATGTGGAGCAGTGCAGACTCTTTGCCCATCTTTGCTAACTGGGAATGTAATAGCTCATGTTGGTTAACTTCTCATGTAGATGGTGCTACTCTACAAAATCCAGGTTCATCTATACCGCAAAATCGTGAGCAGGGAGGTACAGCACGAACCTTGTAAGCGTATATTAGCACAAGCATACATATTAGAGATTGTAACTAGCGCTTATTATAAAATTTTATACTTTTATAATGTTGAATGGTCTTATAAACTGACAACAGTAGCAGTGACATATTAAAAGATTTTCAGGCACTGCTTATTTTTGCTATATCTAAAAATGTGTCAGATCACAACACTATCATATCATATCAAAATGTATCATGAATTTTGTGAATCGTATAAAATAGTGCACCACCATTTGTAATGCATTCATTAGTAAGGTATGAAGAATATGTATAGTACATCAGAGCACAGTGAGTGGTGTTGGAGGCATAGCATATCGCTGCTGTCTGAAAAAAAATCGTTTTTTCAGGTTTTGGCATAATTTGAAAATGCCTGTTGTCCTTTACAATGTTTCAAAATTTCATTTTGAATGGACCAAAAGAAATGACCCAAAATGACTTGGAAAAAAGTCTGGTTCCATTGACTTCCATTAAAAGTAAAGTATGCTTTTCCCTTCTCCTGTAAAGTTACCATTTTGGAGATTCAAAGTTTTGCTCCAACAACAGCGATACAGTGTAAGAATATAATGCATAGTGCCGGAACTGAGGTTACACAAGGTAAAGATGTGTAGAGCCGGGACAGAAGACTTAGCGCATGGTGGCTTCTTTTTTCCTTCAACCGATCTTTTCCCGACACCCAGATGTTCTGGCATCTCCACACGGTTTGGAACTGCCAGCTCTGGGCGCCTTGTTCATTCTCTCTCCGTCTCTCAGTTAAAGTGTATTCACTATTTGCTTCATTGGCATGACAACTTTTCATTTGTATTGTCAAAGCACTGCACCAACAACGCACGCTTACACAACAATAAAGAAAATGTTACCTATCAAATGACGTGTCTCTTTCTCCTTCTCTCTCTCTCTCTCTCTCTATCTCAGCTCTACGACGCAATACAGCCGAGTCAGGAATGCGCAACAGCTGTCCCTCCTTCCCTCCCTCGCTCTCTCTCTCTCTCTCCCTCTCCCTCTCTCCCATCTCCCTCCACTCTCTGCAATGACCCTCTCTGCACATTTCCGACAGCGTTACATTAAACAGGGCGTCTAAATGGAGGAGAACAATGCGCGATTCGATCGGGATGAGCTGCGGCTCTCTCTCCATTTTCGGCTCTTAATTGCGCATTAGAGAAGCCGTTCCCCTGCGTCAGAGCATTCACACGCGCTGGGAAAGAGCCCTATTTGCACATTAGCCGAAACGAGCGTGGCTGAGCAGCCCCTTCAGCCCCTTTCAAAAAAGCCACACAAAAGCCTGTTTGCGGAGTGCAAATATTTAATGAGCGTTATTCTTTTCCTCCTTTTCTTCTTTTGCTTTTTATTTCCTTTTCCCCCCCGCAAAGGGAGCAGGTTTGGGGCTGAAGACAAATGTTTTGTTTGGAGAGCAGATCGCATGGCAGGTTTAACAAGACGTAGCAGAAGCCTGTTCATTAGTGGCGAGCGTGCGGAGGGTTGACCGTCTGCGCTGTTTATTTTCCGCAGATAACAAACCCTCTTGTCCATGCAGTGAACCAGCTGAGGTGTAAAAATGTATAGATGCATTGTGATGCATCTCTTTAAACAGTGACTGATTGAACTAACATCTATGACAGAATGTTTGAGTTGATTATGCTGAATTATACTTGCATTCAATAAAGTATGAGCCCGTTTTGGCCAAATGCTTAGGTTATTTTCAACGTACATGTCCAAAATACTTGGTTTATTGTTTCTGTCGTCTGTATTTCACTAATGTACATTTGCTACTGCCACTTGATAATTTCCCAAAGAATCAAAGTCAAATCGAAACTTTGTGATGACGCACACCCATAGCGGGCGCTATCAAGGATATCAAGCATATCGCTATCAAGGAGGGCGGCCTTCAAGAATCCACCGCTGAAGCGCAAACAGGCAAAAGTCACTCTGTTTCTCTGACACAGCCAAAAGCATCAAGGAGACATGGCCGTCTGAGCCCAGCACCAGGCTTTGAAGTGACTGCCTGTTTACTTGAGATGGATGGCTCAGAGTTTGTCTGCCCTCTCGAAAAAACAGTCTCTCGCACTCTTTCTCCGTCACCGTCTCTCTCCCGCTTTTTCTCTCTTGCGCTTTCTCTTTTCTCTCTTGCTGCCTTTTTCTGTCTGGCGCTCATGTCTGCTCTTTCTTGCTCGCTCTCTTTTTCGCTTCTCTTTCTCTCGCTCTTCTCACCCACGCAGTCCTGTGTGTGTTTAATGGAGGGGCCCCGTCCCAGCCAGCTCTGCCTCTACTGAAGCCATCTCTAACAGTCAGAAAGCTGAGGTTTCAGAGGACAAAAAGGCTGTGAAATGTCACCGTACATTAAGTTCCCTCTTATCTAGCTCTCATTGAAAGGAAAAAAAAAGAAAAAATATGTAGGCCCAGGTTTCATCACTCTTACGAATACATATCTAACATATTACTTACTGAATAATTCATACTGGTTACTAGATAATGAGCGAATAATAAGCCAGGATTTTAAAGTCAGTGTGAATCAGAATAAGCATTTTCCTTCCATTCCCTGCATAGTGAAACACAGTCCCGGAGCTAGCTGAGCATTTTCCCATGGAGGGTAAGCTGAGGTGGTGGTAGAATGAGGCGAAACATGATATTATTGATTAAATATTGTTTTTCCACGTCCCTGGCGTACAGTGATGTAACTAAACCTCAGAAGACGTTTTCAAGGTGGGCCAAAGTCACTACACTTCCATCAGATATTGTAAACATGAATCCATCATCATTTAAAATAAGGTCGACTTTAAGGGGTTAAACGTTGTTGCCGTATCCAATGGCTCAGAAAGTGCACTGCACCCTGCAATTCAGACCTAATGAGCAAACTGCTCATAGAGGTTTACTCAGACCTTCCGAAACTTACAATGGTGTAGTCCCAGCTAGAAAAACACAATATAGCTGATTAGTTTAGCCTGACTTTTTGTGTTTTTACAGAGACTTGAAGCCACTTTGATGTGTAAAAACTGGCACTATAGTCTTAAGATGTCTTAAAATGTACACTGTACCACACAGCATTCATCTAGCACTGAGTGCGTTCAACCAGCGGAGCTCAACAGCTGCATTTCTAAAACAATTTCATCTTTCTAGGTGCAATACATGTGATGTTGATGTAGGACATCACATCACCCCACGGTTGCTACGGTTTGCATGACATAAATCAATTAATGAATGATATTTTTAAATCTGCAGTATTTTTTTTTATTTCACATTTCACATATTGTCCCATCCCTACTTATTTCCTTAGCAATCTGCCCCATAACTTCACTGTAGACTGTAACAGTGCAGGTGTGGGGTTAAACGATGTTGCGGTATCCAATGGCTTAGAAGTGCACTGCACCCTGCAATTCAGACCTAATGAGCAAACTGCCTTATAGAAGTTTACTCAGACCTTCCGAAACTTACAATGGCGTAGTCCCAGCTGGACACTGCTTTGCCTCTCTGATGCTCTTCTCTGCTATTTCCTTATTCTATAACTATATATA